TTTTGTTATAATTTATAATAAATATTTTTAAAAAATTATGATTTATAGACGCTCGTGCTACAGGCACAAGATATAAATTTATCTGATTTCTAATCTTATTAAAATAGTCAAATATTATTATTAATAATCATACATTTATGTTACTATACAGATTGTATGAGTCTATAGTTACATAAATGTAGTGAAGTATCTTGTCATTCACTACATTTATGTTACTATACATTTCTAAACTATTTATTTTTCGAAATCCAAAATTTCCCTGAAATTTCATAGTTAATTATTAAGTTGATAATATGTATCTTATCAATATTTAAACATTTCAAAACAAAAAAAGTCCAAGGCCACAGTGTTTAACACTGGAGGCTGTGTGTCGTTGATACATTATCTTATCGCTTATTCGACATTTTTCTGAACAGGTAATTGTGAAACGGAGATGCTAAACTTATTCCACCAAACTTCGTGTTTCTCTTTAAACATGTAATAGTATGGATGTAAGTTAAATTATCATTCACAACAAGAGACAAACTAAATTATTTGGCCAAATATAGAAAAAAAAAAAAATAGAAAATTATTACGCTGTTTGATATTTCTAAGACATCTGCCAACGCAGGTATTTTTAATTCTCAATTAAATATCAGTTTTTCTATGCTAAAGCAAAAATATTAATAGCGTACGTAATATAATATTATATTCCGTATAAGATACAATATTAGTATGATAATTAAAAATAATTAATAACAATAATAATCGAGTGAATATTGTAATACAGATTATGATAAATTATTATATAAGGACGTTCATACGAGGCGTTTTCGTATGCCTCATTAATATTGTTACATTCACCTTCATACAAATTAAAATTTATAATTATACTGTGGTGATTTCCAATATTGTGTTGTTATCATTGCCGTTGACTGGTGGATAATAATATTATTAATATTATTGGTATAAATTAGATGCGGTTATTGATCAAAATATAAAATGCATAAGATGACGCGTCAGTGTTATGTCGAAGTAATTTTCAAAAATGATTAAAAATACTGTAGAGAGAGCCTACATAATATATATATAATAATATCGCAGAGATAACTTTTTACTCTATTGTGCGTTTGTTGCTCATATTTATTCAAATCGCGTTTTTTTTTCTTATTTTCTATACACACAAGGTGATTTGCCAACCATGCTCCCCAATCATATTTTTATAATCCTACAAACTATAACCTAGTAATATCATATAATATTTAACCTATTCAAATTCTGTGTCTTCTTTATCATTTATTTTAAATTACATTAGCTGTTTCGTTCTATGGTGACACAAAATGAATTATTTTTTAACCACAAATCAAATTTATTCTAGTGAACCGTTCATCAGATGATTATTTTGAAAAATTAGATTAAATCGAAACATTAATTTAAAACATATATCTATGAATAAAATTAGTCCATAAATATATTTTCATCACTCTCGTAAATATTACCCACCTGAGTATAATATTTATAATACTAGATTTAATTAATTAGGTAATAAAGTATTATGTTATCATAACAACTTTATACATTATAATATATAATAATTATATTATAATCTTGCACAGCTATTTCTAATGAGCATAATAGCTATATTTTCCTTGGTATTATTTTTTTTATAACTTAGAAACTACTAGATAGAATTTTGTTGAGATACATACCATTTTTTAAAATAAAAATTAGCTGTCCAGCCGATTATTTTACATTAACACGGTTGGTTATCATTTGAAAAAAAAGAAGTTTGCATCGTCACAGTACTCACCTGAAATATTATAAAACAAAATATTAATTATTGAAAAATATGGTATTGTTATATAGAATGTGTAATTAAAAATTACAGTAATTGGAATTTGAATACATTAAAAACGAAAAATGGGAATGATTATGTTAAAAAATTATCCGTATAAACTATATTATATAGGTATTATTGAGGTTTGTTGGTTCATGCAGCTGCTGTGCTTTTTAACTACCACAAAAAAGAAAAAAAATTTTCTCGATGAACTGTTCAAACAGCACACATCATTGGAAAAGCCAATAAATTCACCACCACTTCTTACAGAATCCAAAAGAGAGGAAAAGTTTTTAAAGTCATACCCGCTTAAAAACTCGAGTTGTTTTCGCGTCAGTACCACAACATTGTGCACAATAAGTATATTATATATATATATATATATATATATTATTATTATAAAATATAATATCATTTATTTAAATAAAACGATCTAAACTTATAATGTAACTTATCACAACCGACGATTTTATACGATACCAATGAGTTGCCTATATTAGTTAGTATTAACTACTTGGCCACGTTCAAACACGAACGTAAAAAATGAGTATAAATAAAAAACCCATCTTGTTTTAGATTAAATTCATCGTTCATAAAAAGCACTAAATAAATTGCAATATCGGAAAAATATAAACCAATTTAATAATTAAAAAAAGGAATTAAAAAAAAAGTTTACGGCGATCTAAAACCATCGCGAGTTCATGTATCGACGTGTTGATAAGAATATTATATTGACTATCGTTTTAAACAACCTTAATACGTAAACGAACCTATATTCGTAGCAAATACTATTTATGTCCGCTGAACCAGCGTAAATATATTTTAATATTCATTCGACTCATTAAGAGTAGTGCGTATAGCTAGCGAATTAAAAACGATAATATCATATATTTTATCGAACATTATTGGAGTGCATGACGCAGGTGGTTGACTTGACGTGATTTTGATTACCTACCTGCAGTTTCTTATTTGTTATCGCGTCCCAAAGGGATCTCTATGTTACATCTCAGAAATTGACTATCGTACAGAGGGCAGACATTAAGTACAAATTCACAGTATGATACCATAAGTATGGTCTTTCGAACCGTGTGACTGGTTTAAAAAATAAATAACTATACTCGAAACGATGACAAATTATGATTTTATGAATATTAGATTTTTTTTTTTTAGATTTTTAGAAAACGCCCATGCCATTCGCTTTGAATTGTTAACAATTGAAACAGGAAATCGTGATTGCGTTAGTGTATCTATTGACATAAGAAATACATAAATGAAATGATACAGACAAAATAGTACACTAAACTAATTGTAGTCATAACCCTACACGAATGTTTGTCATTCCATAATGTAAGACATTTGTCGGAATATTTATGTACAAAAACGTGAACATATATTTTAATCAACGCGAATAATACAATAGACTTACATATTATTATTTTGAATTTCGTTGTCCTTTAACCTAAATATTTAACCATGTTTTTTACGCGTCTTTCGATCCTAAGCGGGTTTTAATGTCTATTATATTTTTCATTAAACCGTATAATATTGTATATTATATTATAATAATACATCTTAGAAGAAAAAAAAGGTAATTTGTCAGGAATCGTTATTGTATAATATTATATGCGAATATATTATTTTTTTTTTTTACGGTTTAGATCAGATTTAAGTCTAAAAAAATGGGTCCTAAACTGCGTTTACGAAAGAGCAAAAATTTGAGCAACAAAAAATTCATTTTAATACTTCAGAAAAATTACGAAAATCTACACAAAAAATAATAAGCAGTATTATAGTGGCCGCAATATAAAATACAAGCTCTTATTTGCATTTTGTACGGACGTTATATAATATTGTTATGATGATATTATATATATATATCTATATATATTTAAACTATTATTTTGCACAGTATACCACCACTCAGCTGCGCTTATACATATTATTTTTTTACTTCATATTTAACCAATTTTTGCAATATTTGTGTTAAATATTGTATTAATTATTATTGAGTTATTCTGTATAGGTACGTTATACATCGGGCGCATGTAAACTCCACCGATTGTGACCTTTTTTCATGTAAATTCCACCGGCACGTTTAATTTACCTGGAAAAAAAATGTAAACTCCACTGGTATGTTTTTTTATAGCAGCATCAAGTCAATTTTTCCAATTTTTTTTTCTCAATAAAGTAATAAATATATTTTAATTATAAATTCCAAATTAAAATAACAAATTGTATAAAAAAATTAATATAAATGGTATTTTTAGAGGTAAAATGCATTTTTCAAGGACATGTTTGGCTATTTTTTAGAGCATATTTGTATGGTTTTGAGTACATTTAAATCCAGGCCCTAATTATAATATATCTATCGAATTTAAATACAATAATTAAAAAAAAAATCATATAAAAATCAAATAGAAATAATAGAAAAATATATAATTATTAACATTACGTAAGTAATACGTACCTACATAATTTATGTACAGATTTACTACTTATATATATTATATTCAGATACTTAAATCTTTTTTTACACGATATTAAAATAAATAATATAATAATGATTGAATATCTAATAGAGCTTTTGTAAAGTGATATATATTTGGATTTTTATAATATGGAATATACGTGCTTTTATGTCAAAAATACGTATCGGTGGAATTTTTTGTTTTTTTTTTTTTTCAGGTAAAAAAAATGTATCGGCGGAATTAACATGCTATAAATCTAACCCTAAAATCGACTACCTGTAAATCGGCGGAGTTTACAATCGCCCTATACATCATATGTCACGTAGTCATTATTTTAATTCCTTATCACTTTTCGTTAATGTCAATTAAATATTAGTGAAAAAATATTGCTGAAAAATCACTGAAACCGGATTGATTTAAATATTATTAAATTGAATAATCGGTAGGTATAGGCATTTGATGTGAATCAGGACATTCGGTGGGTATAGGTTACGAATTGACTATAAGTCACTACTTCCGCACCTATACGTAATATTCAAATTTGAAATAATTTTTAAGCCCACGATAAAACGTTTCTATTTTTATTTTATTCCCAACATTATAAGATAGGTGGGAGGATACCATTATTGCTGTTACTCTTATACAGCAACAGATTTATCGTTTATTTATGAACGATATTTCGGTCGAGAAAATAATAACAAAGTTCCGATAAAGTATAAAAACTGTTAAATTTAATATTTGATTTTTATAAAGGTGAAATAAATTATGATATTATAATAAAATTGAAAAGCAATAAATTAACTGTCAGCTATCGTGTTTCGGTTGACATAGCTGATACAACGTCCCTCAGCCTTGTTCATCTTAAGCTTTCTTACCATCGACGATTTTAGCCTAAAATCATAAAAATTAAACGGTTATTTCGAAGTTATCTATACAGAAAACAATATATATTTTTGTATGTTTATCGTAAATGAATATATTTTATTTACCTGTACGGCTTTGGTTTGTTCCATGAGAAGGTCGATGTTTTTCTTTATGAAGTCCTTGATTTGCTTCTCAACTTCGGTGTTTCCTTGGGCTTTCTTGGTGATCTCAGTACCATATTCGACCATGTGCTTAAGTGCCTGTTCTGCTTTTTCGTTGAAGTCCTTCAAGCTGACTTCCTTGGGCAAGTTCTTGACGTAATTGTCGATGGTCGTTTGGAATTGCTTGGTGGATTCCTTGAACATGTCGGACACGCTAGCTTTTCCTTCAAACTGTACGTAAAAAAAAAATAAAAATAATAATAATCAATAACAACGGMTTCAAAAAAGTCTATGACGTATTGTGGCACGTCGTAAAGGAGTTAGTTGAAGTTTAAAAGTCCAACTAAAATATTTCGAGGTTTTGCATACCGATTTGGTGAAAACAGCAAGTTCAGACTTGAAACCGTCGACGAATGTGTTCAGATTGTTCTTGGCAGCGGTGGCGTACTCGGAGTTATCGACGTTGACAAAACTGGCGATTTGTTTTGTCATGTTTTTGAGTTCTTCTTCGAACGGTATACTCCAGTCGGTGTCGGAGCCGGGTCTACCTTGGATCTAAATCGACACAAAATTGGGTTCGTTTTGGATTTCGTTCGAATTGTTTATTATGGGCACGTGTAATTATCACTGGCGTCGCCGTATATATAGGTGCAAAGTATACGGCTCCACTTGTGTGATACTATAATTATTGACGCGAAAATCGTTGAAGACGATAAATCAAAACAATAATAATGTATTATAATTACACGTTTAGATTCCGTGCACGTGTCTAATTACTAATTAGTACTCTTTAAATTACGGCGATGTATTATGTTCGTATAATATTTTATTGCTTACTTGAACAACGGCTACGAACACGACGGCGACGGCCACAATCACTTTGCAGGCGACCATATTGTTGTTGCGTGTAGAACGGATGAAATACTAAAATGTAATATAATATCAACGAGAGTTGACAGCGAATTATGATAATATGTCTGTATCACTGCTGCTGACGGTTTTTCGAGCAATACTGATTTAACTTGCCGGATGGGACGGATATTTATATCAAAACGACGGTACACAGTAAGTTGCAGTGTACATCATGGGAGGGACCTTTGATTTATTTTTTTCCGTTATCGGATGAACTAACCTGACGGTAATACGCTTATACGTTGTGATAACAAATAATACACCGCGGCCCGGGTCGCGCGATAAACATTGATAAGAAAAACAAACACATTAATTATCATTATGATGATGTTTGTCGCAGACCAAACTACGTTACGTAAACGTGGAATCGCGTTGTTTCGGGTTCAGAATAGAAATTCAAAGTCGTTCAAAGATCATAATAAAATATTAATATTTTAACGATATCGGCCAGAAGTGGTGAGAACAAATCGAAACATAATATTATAAATAAGATGATATTATATCATGTTCGAACAGAAATGGTCGGTGGTTTATAATATTATCATATTTACTCATAATAGTTTAATATCAGCTATACACTATAGTGTTAGGTATAGGTACTAATGGTATTAAATTTAAATTGCCAAATAAATACATCTTTGTGGCGGTCGACATGCACAAATGACACATAAATTGATCGGTGTCATCATTTATATAACAACTGCAACAGCGAGTGCATATGATGCACTTCTAACGAAATATTAAATGAATCGTGTGCGCTGTAGTGATAATGAAGAATCATTTCAAATTTATTTGTCAAGAACAACTCTATGCTAAATAAACCAGATCAATCAACTGCAAAGTTGTCAATCGTGCTTAAATAGGAGAGCCGGAAACTTCTATCTCGTATCCGATAAACGCTTTGGTATAATCGAGTTTCCACTATAAATAATAAATTATATAACACTGTGTGTACCTGCATGTGCGCGTGTTTGTATAATATATTTATTCGAACACATTGATTTGTTATAATGGCATTGTCATTCGACATATTGTATATTTATTTAAGTAATCACCTCTCAATATTGTGAATACCAAATCGTATATACATACATATAATATTATATACACATATTTTTGGAGCGGCCGATTTAAAAAATATACGCGTTTTCGTCGTACGACGGCAATCGACATAAATCAATATTTTTTTTTTTTTTTACGATCGGTAAAATGTTATAGTCGACGACGATTAATCGAATCAAAAGCAATTTCGAAGAGCTTAACGAATTTAGCCGTAGCCAGGCAGCAGGTAGGTACGGTGGCATTTTCATAATGTTGTTTAACAACGACAATGGCACACAATATGGAAATATAATTTGTTTTATACATTTATTATCAACGCACAAGTCACACAAATTGTTAAGTTCCCAGGGCATTCATAAAGAGCTCAATTTTCATTTTGCTTACGCGTGTATTACATATTATAAAATATTATACAATACACATAAAGAATATTATTTTAAAAACCGCAGTGGGTGGAAAATGGCGGATTCATAAATTATCAATTTAAACTATTGTTCGTATTTATATATACGTTTACTGTGAGTATAATAATGTGGTACCAACGCCACGGAAATATGGTGATAAATTTTTTAGAAATGCCTGAATTTTTCCAGTATCATTATAATAAAATATACCAAAAAAAAGTACATAACTAAAGCTACCACACGCCACCATATTCGCGGTAAGTGTATCTCGTATTATTCTTGTTCTTATTATTCTTCGTTCTTTTAAATTTTTTATATTTTATTTTATATTTTACTTAAATGGCTATACACACGATCATTATTCATGGATGATTAACGACAATATAGCTCGGAGCACGCGTATATAACATTATAATGACACCGAGAGTAGGAGTAGAAGGTATATAATAATATTCCACCGACGATACCAAAAATCATGGAATATTAATATAATTTTTTTCAAGATTTTATAACCGGAAAAGTGCATCGTATGCGATAAATCGGTGTATATATTATATATAGATTCCCAATGTCATTCGATGCGCTTTTAATTATAGGGTTTGTACGACGACAATGTATTGTACATTATATATAGGTACAGCCGATTCGCCATGAATAAAAGTAAAAAGTGGATATAAATTCGATTCGATATATTATGCGTATTGTTATAGAGATATCTTACTAATTGATATAGGTGACGAATATTCTTGGGGAATAAAAAAAATCGAGTTTTCAAGGTTTTCGAATGATCGCCATTCGATTGTATTATTGATTCGTTAACGATTATTCACAGTTTTCGTCAATGATTTACCTTACACGGTCGCGGTATATGGACGAACACGATGACGGGGGTGAGCAAGTGTAGATGGTGACGGGGGACGTTTTTGGGAGTGCCAAGAACTTTGACGTTTATTTTTTCTCTCTTACCGTATAATAGATGTTCAACAAAAATACTAGAAATTAAGATTCCGAAAACAGCGTTAAACCAATCGTTATATTTACTATTACTATTACTATTTCAGTGATGTATATATACGTTAGGCATATCATATTATTATTAATGTGAAATATAGGTAACGGCATATTAATTATGATTATTTAATATTTTTTGCAATCGGCAGTCAAACGAGTGCGGAAAAGATGGCAGCACCGCGAAATTCACCCAATGATAGTCACAGATATGCCAATCGCATTACATTTTAATTTTTAATTTTTTTCTATTTCAATTTTGTTGGTTCATCGTGTGCGCTCACACACGTTCCGAAGTATTACAATCAATGACACAATAGTATAATACATTATATAGATGTATAAGGTATACGTTCACAGATATGATACGAGTGGAACTGTTTGAACATGGCAATCAACGGTTTTTTTTATTGACTTTAAAACGAAGCAGTATAATAATATAATAATATGAAATAACGCAATAACTTTGATGAATAAAATAATTCGTTTTACGCCGGTTTGACGCACGTTGACCTCGTCTGGTCGGGCCACAGCGCCACAACACGACCGCGCACACTACGGTCTGTCAATAATATACAATTTATTGTTATTTCAAAATAATGTTTGTCAAGCGGCTTTTGGACCTCTCGGCCGTAATAGTTGCCGCAAGTCCGTTTTGTTCAGCAGCAGCCCGCTCGTATTATGTATACATAACTACAATAACGTTGTTACTAAGGCGAGAAACGCGGTGACGTTTTTTTTTTTTTTGTGTTTTCTTGAAGTTTTAAAACGAACCTTAAACGTCTCGGGTTCTATAACGGAACATAACAGCGGTTTAATACCTATTGTTATTGTATACCTATTGTAATTGTTGAGCTAGATTTATAATAAAAAGCTAAAAAAAAAAAAATTATCACATACCTATGTTAATATCAAGCGGATGTATGCTGCGCTCGTGTTGTTTTCCAAATTAACTTTTTATTTACTCTAACCGATAATACATTTTGTTCTATGACCGGTGTATTATATTTATACACACACACAAATATATGCATGCACTATGTACGAGTATGTGTATATAATATTACATAGTTATAGGTATATGGTTTGATGCGCAGAGCGTGTGCGAGTGGAAAACAATAATTCCAAGGAGCGGAAAAAGTCTTAGTCGGCCGTGATGTTTCGACGAATTATTTTTTTTTTTTGTGGTTTTCCTTCGTTTTTCCTCTTTTCTCTTCTGCCAATTATTATCGGTACATAAAACAAAAAAACCCGACGCCGGTACACATCGCGGACCATGTCGACACCGGTAAAATATTATTATAAGCTGCACACATGCGCACACGCGCTATATAAAATAACAGTGGGTATTTATCTATAGGTACCTATATTATGTTTTACGTGCCTACTTTTGGGATGTCAGGATGTGTTGTTGTGGGTACGTGCCGCGTCTTACGTCAATAATATGTTCCATTATTTTACAATTATATGTCAGATGACCAGAGAGAAAAGTTCAAAAACTCCCTGCGCACAATGGAGTTTTTTTCCTCCGTAACGTATAGCGGAGTTCGACGACACAGCACAATATTTTCCCATAGCTATTTTATTCGATAAAGTTTATTAATGCCGTTGAGCTCCTATAACCGTTTATCGAAGAAAACAAAAACGATACATCGATATTATAATTTGTATTGTATTGTGTACCTTATTTATGGAGAGAAAAAAAAAACGAATTACCTGATTGCCTTTCATTGTTACACAATATTATTCAATTTCGAGTCGCTGACAATATTATATTTTACCTAATTATGTTTTATCAAATATACCTTATAATACCACAATTATACTAATATAGGTACCTGTATAATATTATTCAATATTAATTAAATGTAGCAAACATTGAAAATACCGAAAACAACGCAAAATATAAACGGCACAATTTTATTGTTTCGAGAAAATAATATGTAATACAAAACATTGAACATTTCGGTTTGTACATCACAAAATGTTATAAATTATACAAATAATTTATTTGAATAATATCCAGTTTCGTAGTTTCATTTTACGTTTCAACGGTGTCAAATTAAAATGATTGTAAAGGGAAAGTTCGGTCGTATATTTCGATGGTTTGTTCTAACAATTGGGGTTAATTGAACTCTCACAAAGACAATAAATTGGAAGATGATAAAAATAACAAAAACTAGAACTGTCGAAAAAATGTTTTTATTTCTCTGCGATCGATACTAATCAGAGAACATAATATTTTCATTTATTATTTAGAGACAATAAAACACGATTGTGATAAAATTTAATTATATATCATTATGTTTAATCACGATTCGCATTATGTTTAAGTGAGATGTAATTTATGTATGATCGAAAGTCAAAATTAATGTTACCTACCCGTACATTGTGAAGTCACAGCGAATTGCTAAGAATACCTATTGTTTATGGGAAATATTTTGTCAAAACTTAAGTAACGGTTAATGTTTAAAAAAAATGAAAAATAAAATGATATACAAATTTGTCAATACACAAGTAGTAATAATATGCGTTACATGTTATCGCGCGATTGGATCATTACTCGTGGAGTAAAATAATACTATGAATAATTATAAATTAAGTATTGGCATTCCATATTCAGTTTGTATAA